AGTCTTCACATAACTGATTGATTGCTGCATGTCAGTAATTTCATGGAACTGAATAGTGAACCAAGAAAATTGGGTTCTCGTTCAAACTATGCCTCTGACTCACTAGGTCAGCACGACTAAGTCAGAACTGAAAAGGATCTTAAGAGGTTGAATTGAATACCTTCATTTTACAGATGAGAAAATTGAGTGTCTCCCCTCCCCCAGAAGTGACCTGCCTACTAAGGTCACAGAGTAGTGACAAAATAGCTCAAACCAATGTCTTCTGACTTCAAAATCAAGATACTTTCCACTATTCCATGAAGTCTTTGTTTTCGCTTTCTCATATGCAAAACAGGGATAATGATGTCTACTTATACAAGATTTCTAAATGGAAATTTGAATGTTTTACTACACATATATGTGAATATTCAAAAAAGTTTAACATAGCCAAATGTTAAAGTATTATTCTCCAATCTTAGTGCAATGACAATGCCTTATAATGTTTATTTTGTAAATACTTCCTCCCCCAGACTAATAAATTTTTAAAAAATTTGAAGTTAACTTTGTTTTGAGATTTGTGCAGATCAGAGAGAGCCACAGATTATCACAAAAATCAGGGCTGAGACTCAGTAATAATGGAGGATGGTAAGTAGTTACACTACCTCACTTCTGCAGGCAGAACAAGTGATTGACCGCCTAGCTGCTTCTTGAGGTATGTTCTCGATAGCAAAATACTATTTTGGGGATGTGATTAAATCTCCTTCCCTAGTGGTACAATCATAGGATTGAGAGTTAAAAGAGACATTGAAGACTATCTTCCAATTCCTCCATTTTAAAAAGGAAAAAATTGAGACTCATGAAAGTTAAATGACTTTCCCAAAGTCACCCAAATCTTCTAATTTTAATAGTGTTCTTTTTTCCTCCTGTTATACCAAGGCAGGGAACCAATGTAACTAGGATGATTTAAATAATATCCCACAAAAAGGCAGAAAATGAACTGTAAAATCCTTTAAGATGACTTCTAGTTCTATAATTCTTTCAAAGCTCCTGGTAATAGCAGCAAATTTTCCTAACTATAAACTACCACAAAGACCCACCCTCCCCTTCAGCTGTACATAGGGGGAGGGGGAGCCTGAAAAATCAATGCTTTATTGTTCAATTGCTGTGTTTCTTGGTGATATCCATAAGCATCCAGAGGCACCATTACACAATAATGTTTGATTGTTCCCCTCAAAATGCTTTCCTATGCACAAAAGACACAATCTTAAATTCCTACAAGCAGTCTAGAGCTTTCACCCTTTAAGCACATTTATTTTTATCCCTTCACAAGTTCATTTTGCATCTACAATTCAGCCCCTAGCTTTCTTAGAAGAATTTTTTTTCAGTTTTTAAGGAAAAGCAGAGAGATAAAAGGATAGCATGCCACCATAGGACATTGTACAGTCTGGGACCCCAAATTGGGTTCAATGAAGGCCTTGAGACATTCTCTGGAAGGGCTCAAAGCACAATCTGAGATTTTTCCTTCCTGGCCACATATTTGTCAGGGTGGAGGGTAAAGAAGCCCTGGTGATCATTATTCTTTCTATTCTTCCTAAAGGTCTGAGCCAGAAACAAGTGCAAAGACAATCAAAAAGCTCCCAGGGAAATAAGCACATGTAGACACACTAAGTGGCACTGCCCAATGACACTCACTCCAGCCCTCTGGCCTCAGTTTCCTTATCTGTAAAAGGAGAGGTCTAGATACATTACATTGTGTCCACTTGGTTTTAATCATCTGTGACTGTGTTCCTAGGACTGTGAGATTTGAAGTTTGTGTAATAACAGCAGGTTACAAAACATTTTTTCCAAAACAACCTTGCAAGGTAGCTAGAAATACATAGATAGTAATCACACCTACAATTTAGAAGATCAAGTTGAACACTAAGAATTACCACAGAAGTAGTGGTGTTAGGAATCATAAGTACCTTGTAGAGAAGCCTGGTTAATCCATTCAGCTTTTGTCCATTTATAGTGGGTGAGTATTTGATTTGGTAAGGAAGCCACTGTATAGCTTAGTTTTTAAAACTGTATTATGGTGTCTTAGTGTACTTCTTAGCTAATAGCTTACATATAGCTAGGTGCCACACATCTTCAAGTTTCTCTTTCATAATATGACATAACATTTCCCCTAAGAAGAACAAAGTTGGATCACAATGCATCAGCTTTATTTATTGCCTGTGAGCTTTGTTCCTTTTCTTAATTTGCTTAAAAAAAAACCATGAAGGAACATTTTGTGTCCTTACAAAACTACCAATATTGGGTCCTCTGCTAAAAAAAACAAAAGAAGCAAGTTAAGCAATATTCCTCCGACCAACTAAGTGTACTGAACAAAAATTTTGAAAATGAAGTTCAGCACTAATAACTCTCAAAATTTAAGATCCTCTTTGTTCTGATAAATAGTTTCAAATAAGGTATACTGCAGTCTTAAGAGTTACAGAGATTTGCTCTGTGTCTTCTTTTAAAGACACAAAAGATATTAAGAATTACATTTTTCCCCCTTGGGCCATAAACTTGACTGGGTCACAAGCATTTAAGTCAGACACTTGTTGCAAGACTATCTTTTGCATATTGATCTCATTCTTGTAATTTGATATTTCTTACAAGTTGAAAACCTCTGAATGCAGTTCACAATTATAAATGTAAATTTACAAATTGTTGGGTGGCTGGGACCCTGGTTTTACTAAAGAAAAACAATTTTTGTTTCTAGAGAAGGGAAGGAAGCCCTTAAACAGAAAGCACACCACACATGAGAACACAGGCCTGTGTTGAAAACCATCTTCCTCCTGATTCCTTTTTTCCTCTTAGAAGGGTCATGACCCATTGGAAAAGAAACACTTATTTTCATTCATTCATCTGCAACTTGTTTTCCTAGTTACAACTTCAACAGGAAAACATATTAAATGTCAATGCTACATTTTAGCCCAGAAAAAACATGCTACATACATTTTCATATCACCATAGAAGTGAAAGCTTCTTTCATTATTATTAATAACCTGTTTATCATTTAATCTCCCATACAATTATAAGAACTGTCCCCTTATACAATGCTTCATAAATTTTAAAATACTTTGCTCACAGTAACACTGAAGGAGTACAAGTATCATCTCCATTTAACCAAAGAGGAAACCATCAGAGAAATTAACATTAACCTGCCAAAGATCACAGGGGTAGCAAATGCAGCAGGGGTTTGAGCATACATCCTTCTGACTCCAAGGTGGGGGGGGCAGGCTGCTCTGACCTCAAGACACCACTATCTGTTATAGTTCACCTTATACTTTAAAACAGAAAGGGTTATCTGACCTATTCTTTCTCTTTACTGAATTTAACACCATTTTCACCACTACCAAACATTAATAGATACTCTATTTGGAGAAACACACCTTTTGTGTGTATGTATTTCTTATTAAACAGTAATGGGTCTGGGATATGGAGTGCTGCATACCAGGTTCTCTACCGTCTTCTCCCAGGACTACAGATATTCATCCTACTGAAAACTGCAATTGTCACAGCTACTGGAGGAAACCTTGATTCCCTTTTGCAAATTATTCTTAAACTTACAAAGTTAATCAATTATCTTTTATTAAGCACCTACTCTGTATCAGGGCAGCTAGGTGGCGAAGTGAATAGAGTGCTGGGCCTGGAATCAGGAAGATTCATCTTCCTGAGTTCAAATTCGGCCATAGAAACTTACTAGCTGTGTGGCCCTGGGCAAATCACTAACCTTGTTTGCCTCAGTTTCCTCATCTGCAAAATGAGTTGTAGAAGGAAATGGCAAACCACTCCAGTATCTTTGCCAAGAAAACCCCAAATAGGGTCACTATTGGAGGTGGATACGACTGAGAACGACTGAACAACACTCTTTATCAGGCACCAAGCTACTTCTAGCTCTGCCTGCCACAAAGACAAAAAAACGGGACCTGAAAGGACTGTTTAATAGCAATTGCAAATCATCACAACTATCCCACAAAGGCCAGGCATTTTTAAAGCCAGGATACCTGACTGCAAAAAAGTCACTGTTCTGAACTTAAAACTTTCCACTAGTGAGTGGAAGTTACGGCAGAACTCAATTATGGAGAACTCAGAGTTCCTCAAGGGCAGGGACTATATGATTTTCGTTTGTAGTCTGTGCACATATCGAAAAATTAGTGCGCATAGAATTGCTGGATATTCTGCGGAAATGCTTCCTCAAGTTAGTGGGTGAGTCAGCCCTTGTTCTCAGTTATTTAGAGACTCACTCCAGGTCACTACCAGGTCAAAAGATGCCCTAGTTTATAGCCCGTCTGTTGAGTGTTCAGGTGGAACAGAGGGCCATAGAAATCACTAGGACTCCACTGCCCAGTGGAGAGGGAGGAAGAGACAAATGCGTGCCTGGGGGGCAGCTGGTTAGCAGCTGGTTAGCCCGTTTATACATATGCAGGAGGGAGCACTGCAGCCAGCCTCTGCACGTGGCAAACACTTAATGTTACTGAAGGGCTGGATGTCAGCCTCAGGCTTCCTCCTCCCACACCCTTCCAAGGATCCGAAGAAGGAGGGTTTATCCCCGCTATCGACCAACAGGTAAGGCAAACACCTGAGAGGAAGGAGGAGGAAGTGGAGTGAAAGAGTAAACGAGGGAGAGAAGGTCAGCGGGGGTGTGCGGCCTGGCTCGGGGAGGGACAGGGCATGGGGATGTCTCCCGCCGCCCGGTCAGTTCTCTCCCTCCCTCCATCACCCCGGGGGGAGCCCGAGTCCGGCACAATCAGGTGACAGGAAGGCACCCCCAGCACCGCACGGGCAGAGCATCCTGAGGAGGGGGGCAGCTCGGAGGAAGAAGGGGGAGGGGGGACAGTCCGGAGCCCAACACCTGAACAGGCAGCGGCCCCGCCTCGGACCGAAGCGCCTCTGTCCGGCGAGCCCCACCCCGCGGCCGCGGCGGGTCCCGGAGGAGCTCGGGTCCCCCGCCGGCCCGGCCCCCCGCCAGCCGCCCGGCCCTGGCCCCGTACCTGGCTGCTGGCGGCGGCAGAGGCGGCGGCGGCGGCTGCCGGGCTGCTCCTCACATACCCGTTCCGCAGCTCCCCGTTCGCGACGCAGCCGTTCGGCAGCGCAGGGCGGCGGCAGCAGCAACCCCCGGGCTCTGGGCGCATCCTGCCGGCAGCACCAGGTGCGAGGCTGGATCTGGCGGCCGCTCCGGCTCGGCTCGGCTCAGCGCCGCACCCCACCCGCCCACCTCCGGCAAACCGGAAATGGCAGCCGCGCCGCCGCCAATTCCCGACCCGGCAGTCACATGGAGGCGGGACCCAACACCCCCGGACTCCTGGCTGGCCCGAGGCCGGGGGAAAGGGGGGGCGCAGGGAGAGGAGGAACAGCCCGAAGCCCCACTGACCAATCCAGAGGAAGAGGGGGTGTGGCCTAAGCTCCCGCTCGGCCTATCGCCGGTGAGACCGGAGTGGACGTGAGAGCCGAAGGTAGGGGGTGGGGGCACGCCTCGGAGGGACCTTGGGGCGGTAACCTGGCTGCTGGCGACCGTCCGTTTGAGGAAAGGGCTTGGCAGGCGGTGCTCGGGCAGCACACCCGAGGGAGAGAGGGTGAGAGGGAGAGGGGCGGAAGCGTGGCCAAGCCCTGCATGAAGAACTAGGGAGCGAGCGGAGCCCGAGCATGGGCTCTGTGGTTCTAGATCCCGGACCACGTGGGGGTTCTCTGGTTCGTACTGTTAGGATCAGAGATGTGGAACTGGAAGGAACCTTAGAGGTCATCGAGCCCAACTCCCTCCTTTTACGGAGAAGGAAAATGATTTGCTGCAGGTCTCCCTGTTACTAGGACGTGGCGGGGCTGTGATCCCCTGACTCCAGAGGCGGTGCTCTTCCCACTGCATCTCCCTGCCTAGTCCCGCCCCCCCCCCCCCGGGTATCTTCGCTTTCCTTGCCCCGTTGGGAAGTTCGTGAGCTTAAGTCTTCAGAGTTGGAAGAGTCCTTTTTAGAGGTCATCTTGCTTGATCCTTTAATTTTACAGATGAGAAACTGAGGCCTGAAGACGGGAAGTAACTTTACCCAAACCAAGCTCATCCTCTTTAGTTTCCCCTCATACCCCACCCTCTTCCGAACTTTCTGTGGAGGGCAATGCCATTTATTTTTCTCCAAGTGCCCCAGGTTCACAATATAGTCTGTAATCATACTCCACTTTACTATTTCCTTAGCCCCAAATATCCAACCAGTTGCCAAGTCTTGAAGATTCTACCTCTACATATTTCACATTTGCATCCCTCTGTCCTCTCAGGCAGACCACTACCTCAGTGCAGGCGCTCATCACTTCTCAGATGCCCTGTTTCCTTCTAAATGGTCTACTTGGCTAAGGTCTTCCCACTCAATCCTTCCTCTGTTCAGCAGCAAAAGTAATATTCTTAAAGCACAGATCTGACCTGCTTTTCCTTTAGAATAACATGCAAATTCTTCACTTTAGCATTTGAAGCTCTTCACAATCCGATTGCAGCTTACATTTCCAGACTTATACATTACTCCTTTTCATTCATTCTTCAGTTCAGCCAAAAACGTAACTGACCTACTGGCTCTTCTATGTATACAACATTCCATTTCCTGTTTCTGCCTGGTTGCAGTCTCTCCCCCATGCGTGGAATGTATGCTTTCTTGCCCTTAGATCCCCAACTTCTTTCAAAGTTCAGCTTATGCAGCACCTCCTACCAAAGGCCTTTTTTGATCCCCCTAGCTGATAGTAACTTTTTCCTCTTCCCAAACTTGTATTTACTTTCTATGTTTATACATGTACATTTTGTTTCTCCCTCTAGAATATAAACTCCTTGAGAGCAGAGACTATTTCATTTTTGCCCTTGTATCCCCAATGCCCAGCAGAATCATGCATAGCGTAGGTGATCAATATATTCTTGTTGACTGATTCATTACCCAAGCTAAACTATAGTAGTCCTATAATGCACAATCTTCTTAACTTATTGATTGGGGATGTTTTTAAAGCTTTTTTTCTTGTTAATCTATAATGGGAAATTTAACCCCTTGAATATACTGTCAGTGATTTTTTGCCATATTATTTACTTAATAATACCTAGATAGCATAATTGAATACTAAGCCTGGAGTCAAGAAGACCTGAGTTCAAATATAGTCTCAGACAAGGTCTAGCTATATGACCTTGAGCAAGTCACTTAAGCTTTGCCTCAGTTTGTTCAACTGCAAAACAGATGATAATAACACCTACTTCTCAAGGTTGTTATAATGAGATAATATTTGCAAAGTACTTAGCACAGTGCTTGGTACATAGTAGGTGCTATGTACCTAACATTTATATTAATGTTAGGTAGTAGTAGTAGTAATAGTATTAAATGTCTGCACTCTGTATCTCTTCTCTCTAGGTTGTCTGGCTTATATTGTAAGCACTCAAGAGCAATATGCAGACCCATTTCCCCCTTGCTTCACAGTGGTCAGAATGAAAGGAAATAGGCCTAAATTGCACCACTGGGACTTGGATTTCATAGCTGAAATGGTGAAGAAATAATGGAACAACAAAAATAAGGGAGCCTGTGAATTTTTCTCTGGAGAGCTTTAAAAACAAGATTGGCAACCATCTGTTTAGGACGATTTAGGTGCTGAACTACCTCTGAAGACAAGTGGGCAAAGCAGATGGCCTCATCAAAATTCAATTTGACAAATATTAAGTGCTTATATGCCCTATATATTTAGGGAATATGGAGAAAGGGATGTATATCTATACTTGAATGTATCCAGTGTGGTTACTTCCTCCAATGCTACAGTTCAGAACCCATCCAACACTTTCCTATCCTATATAATTCTTGTCCATGTCCTTCCACAGATCTTACACAAAGGATATTTACAATGTCTTACAGGCCTCCTTCTATGTTTTTTTCCTTCAATTAGTTTAAGTGAATTAAGTTCAGCCAATATTCATTTAAACACCTACTATGTTCAAGGCACGGTGGTAGTTATTATGACAACCATGTACACAAATAAAGAAATCCGAGTTGGAGAGTTAGTGTGGTGTAGTGGAAAGTGAACTGAAGCTGTGGTCAGAATATCCTGAGTTTGAAACCAGATTGACATTTATGACTATTGGGAAGTCACTTAACCTCTCTGACCCCCAGTTTCTCCATCTATAAAATAGGGATAATAATAGCACCTACCTCACTTCATTTGTAAGACACAAATGAAATTATATATATATATATATATACACACATACATACATATAAAGTGCTTTGCAAACTTTAAAGCTATATTGATATTAGTGATAATTTGAAGAAGAGAACATTAGCAACTGGGGAGGGAGTCTTTTAATATTCTAAAGATACTATTATTAACACTTTGTCCAAATGTTTTGTTTCTCTCTCACTAGGTCACTGGTCCACTTTTTCTGATCACATATATCTTTTTATTTTAAAGCAGTTATTTTCTTTGCCATTCCGAACTTGATAAAACCCAGCAAACACAAACATTTCCATAAACAAGAATATTACGAAATCATTCATCTGTATTATATACAACTTGGAGTTTTTTTAAACTACAGTATAATAAATTTAGCATATTAGTTTCAAAAATATCCTGTTTGTGTCTCTTTGAACTTCTAATCTCTTCCATGCATTTAAAAAATTATTTAATAGCCCCCCTTTTTTTTTACTATTTTTTTTACTATTCACTAAATTGCCCCCCTCTTCCTTATAGCAAAAAAGCATAGTCAAGCAAAACAAATTCATATACTAACATGTCTGAAAATGAGTTGGATAGCAGGCTCCATCATCAGTCCTCTGGAGTTATGGTTGGTCATTGCATTTAATGGAATTCTTAAGCCTTTTACAATTATTTTTTTTTATTATGTTGTAGTGATTGTCTATTTTCCCGGTTCTGCTTACTTTACTCTGCAGCAGTTTGTACAAGTCCTCCCAAGTTTCTCTGAATCTATCCCTTTCATAATTTCTTATAGTACAATAATACTCCATTATAATCATGTACCATAATTTGTTGAACCATCCCTCAATTGTTGGCACCTCTTATTTTCAAATTCTTTGCTACTGTGGATAGTTTTGCATACGGGGATTTTTCCCCTCTTTTTTTTTTTAATTCTTTGGGGCATAACCATAATGGGATGATAATGCTGGGCCCATGGGTAAACACAGTTAAGTAACATTTGGAGTATAGTTCTGAATTGCTTTCCAGAATGGCTGGACTAATTCATAGTTCTACCTCTCCTGTCCTCTCACAGTCCTTCCAACAATTGTCATTATATTTTGGGGGGGCCATTTTTGCTAATCTGATGGGTGTGAGGCAGAACTCAAATTTGTTTTAATTTGTATATCTCTTATTAATGACTTATAGCACTTTTGCAGATGGTTGTTGATAGCGTAGATTTCTTCCCTTGAGAATTGAATATTCATATCCTTTAACTAGTTACCTATTGGGAATGATTCTTCTTAAATATTTGAATCAATACCTTATATTTCTTGGATATTACTCCTTTATCAGAGAAATTTGCTATATGGATAATTTCTCTCTCTTCCTCCTCCCCCAGTTTTTCTGTTCTATTTTTAATTCCATTGATTCAGTCTGTGGAGAAGCTTTTAAATTTTGAATAATCAAAATTGTCTGTTTTATCTCCTCTGACTCTCTTATCCTTTAAATAGTTTAGAGATATTTCCTTATTCACAATTGCAAAAGGTATCCTTCCTGGATTATTTATGGTGTAATTTTAAAAAATCTAGTCAGTTATCCATTGAAACTTGGTGTATGATATAAGATTTTGCTTGATTGTTTTCCAGTTTTCCCAGAAGTTTTTGTTGAATAGTAATTTGGGGTTTATTGGACACTATTACTATGGTCTTTTCTTTCTAAATCTTATATACATAATCTGTCTAATCAGCTTTTCTATTGCTTAACCAATACAAAATAGTTTGGATGATTATTGCTTTTAAGATCAGGATTAAGATTATATATTTTAAGATCAAGAACAACTACTAGAACAACTTACTTCACACTTCCTGTTATTATTTTCCTTTAATTTCTTGACCTTTTCACTCCCTTAGATGAATTTTATTATTTTTCTAGCTTTTTAAATTAACCTTTTAATAGTTTGATTAGAATAACACTGAACCAGTGAATTAATTTTGGTACT